GATGACTTTAAATCTGTATCCAGGGGGGGCAATCCTTCATCACACTTCTAAGTAAAGACGCCGCGCTGGGGAGCAAAGATAATAATCCTCGCATTGAAGATGCGCTCAAACCAGGGCAGCAGTGATGCCTCCTTTAAGGTGCGCTAAATCATCAGTAGGGCAGCACTGCCTCCTTTTAAGGGGGAAAAAAAATAAGTGACTGTTATATGTTTGATGCACATCTAATGCGGTAAATCACTGGCAACTTACCCTCTTAGATCTCAGACAAGACGTGACATTAATCGTGGCAGTGAACACAAAAGCGACTGACCATTTGTGTTCCTGGCGATTCGATGCTATTTGCTCTTTCGTTTAAAATTGTGCCAAACACTGGGGAAGAGGACTCGATAATCGTAGAGTATTGCACAAGTTCAGCTTTGGCGAAAAGGAGAAAGAAAGCCACTAGAGAGCAGCGCAGGAAAGAGCGCTCCGACTGAGCTGCAGCTTCTCTTTCTTCTACATGGGCGATGTGGGTCTGGCTTTACCTTCTTTGGCAATGCAATATTTCGCAGAGAAATTACCTCGATTTAGGAGGAGGGGGAAGGGGATCCGGATCCGTGTGGTTTGCTTTTGCTGCATGGCAATCGTGGGTTGAAAACGGGAATGAAAACTCTGATCCCAAATCTGAACATGATCTTTTCAGATTTTCCTCGTGTGTTCCTTTAGCATCCAGGGTTAAATTCGTGTCGGTGGGGTGGGGGTGGGGGGTGCAATGGGAGATTTATATCAATATTAATTGGCCACAAAAACATGACACCAAATAGTTCCTCTATATTATTGTTGGATTTCAAATAGAAGCAAACAAAACGTTGAATCAATCTCAATATATTTAGAATGCTTGACAGAAATGTATTCATAAATGATAAGGTAGTACTTTGTGTGAAATCCAAACTCCATTCTAACATTTATTTTAAATTAATTACATAGTAAATAATACTTGCATTTGATAGGGTGCCTTATCAAATCAAAGCATCTCAAAACACTCCATACAATGAGTCACTTTGAAGTGTAGTGTCTTTGAAGTGGTAGTTATCATGGCAAATACAGTAGCTAATCTGCACTAGATGTGTCCAACAGGTAGCAATAAGATGAATGAGCAATTTATCTTTTGGCAGAGTTTATTATCAGTGAATAATGCAAAGGACACCAGGAAAATGCCCTGCTCTGTAATACACTGCCTTGAGATTTGTAACAATACATTTGAACTAAAGCTTTACATCTCATCCAAATGATTACATCTTTGATGGTGCTGAAGTATCCAAGTTCTGCACTGAAGTCTCAACCTATTTTATGGGTGGGTATTGAATCCAGACCTAGTCAGAGGCAAAACTGCCACTAACTGAACAAGGCAAATTGATAAGAAATTCTACATTCTTCAAACAAGTGTCAAATTAGCATAATTACGTTAGATTCATAAATTAATATATACATTTTAAAAAAAAGCTCATCACTTTACTGAATGCAAAATACAGGAGAGAAGCTCAGACCTGGTTTAGGCTTATTTTTTAAAAAAATATATTGTTTAGTGGTATTTATGTGTTCATTTGAGCCTCACTCTGGGATAAACTCATTGTTAGACAGATACACCAATGGAGTGCACTGGGGGAATGCGAGATTACCATATGTGCAGTATCATTTTGAGCTGAAGAAGCAGCTTGAATATTCAATGTGTGCGTTTTCCTGTACGATTGCCGTATGTAAAATGGCTGTCGTGTTTGCCAACAAATAACAGTCACTAAACATGACAGTAATTACCTTGAAGCATTCTGAAAATTTCAAAATTATAGGCACTTTACAAATACAAATTAATTTTTAGAGTAGCTCATGTAGTTTCGGAATGCTTCACTATATTGTGATGTGCTGTTTCAGATTGTATTTTGTAATCCTGTGCTATCTTCAGCTTTCCTCCTGGAGGCTGTATCCCTCTGTTTGCATGTTGAATTTATAAATTTCTACTGGCGCTGATGTAATTGGCTTTCAGTTGGTATGAGTATTAACTAGAGTATATGTGTAACAGGAAGAGGAAGATTCAGTGCCACAATCTAGATTGATTTGGGTCAGCTTTTTTTGTGCAAGATGAAGGAAGTCAGGTGATGGAAAGTGAAGGTTTTTTTTCCCTGGTGTCCTGACCAACAATCCTCCAGATACAATTGGTCATTCACTTAATAATAATAATAATTTGGTCACCCAAACCACGACTCTTTGTGGGACACTGCTGTGCATAATTGTCTGCCATTTTTCACCCACAAAATGTAGTCAATTCACTTTACAGTATATTCTGTGAAGCACTTTGAGATGTCGGAATGGCATAATAAGGTGCTATATCAAATGCAAGGATTTATTCTTATTATTACTACATACCGTTTTGAAATTCCTTAAAGTGTTTCACAGTGATGACTGTTGTGTTTAGTGACTTTTTTTGTTGGCAAACTGGGCAGCCAATTTGGGCATTGCAAACTTACTGAATAAAACACAGGGTGCTCAAAGCTCAAATTTTGAATACTGCACACATGCCAGTCCAGCACTCCTCCAGTGCTGCAATGGACTATCAGTCTAGAACTGAGCTCAAGTTCCAAAATGGGGCTTGAACCCATAACCCACCAAACAATATTTTACTTAAAAACGGGTTTGTTCCGAAACTAGGTCTACGTTTATATGTATGTGTGTGTATATATATATGTGTGTGTGTGTTTGTGTTGCATTTGTTAGTCTTAACTTCTGAGTTATGTTACATTGCAGAAAAGGGTTACATGTATTCCAACCATTAATGTATTATACTCCCAATAGTACCCGAGCTACACACAAAAGAAGTTACGTTGTTTAATCACATTTCGCAAAGGACTTTAAACACTGACACATAGACTTCTTCTCTCCAACGTCTCATTGGACAAATGTATTGTGGAGTGTGATTCTGAACATGAAGACTGTTGCCTTTCTGGAGGCTCGGTTCACTGCAGGGGCAGGTGGGGCTGTGTTTGACAGAGGCAAATAGCCTGCTGGCCTTGAATGTCCAAGCTCACCCGTGAGGAATGGCCACTTGGGACTGCTCTGGAGCATTGCAACTGTATCCCAGCACAAGTCAATTAATTCACGAGAGAAGAATTGGAGAAGGAAAATGGCAGCATTTTCCCCACCAATGAGGCTCGATTGCTATGCGCATTCCAGAAGTGCACTGATCAATACCTTCTCCGGTTTGTCTACAATCTACGCAATGCACTTTCCATCATCTCTGGACGTGTGAGACACCAGCCCGACCCCATCCCGAATCACTAACGTAATTCCCAACTGAATAGTGCCGTTGTTATTTGTGTCTGACATGATGTATGGAGCTGCACAGCACTGTGCGGGTAGAAAGGGTTACTGGTAAAGCCACGGAAGGCTCGGCGGTGGCTATAACATGTGGACGAATCCGTTCCTGTTAGTTGGAAGCACAGGTTTGGTAATAACATTTACCAATTGTGTAACATTTAGCAGTTTGTGGAACGTCTCACAGAGCGCCGAATGTTTCAGACGGCGAAATTATGAAGATTGCAGTGGTGTTAGAAAGCAGTGCACATAACCGTATACATGTTATCCTTTCTCGTACACTGCGTGTCGCGTGTTAAAACCTGGTGTGCTGGAAAGATCCTTAAAAAGGTAAAGAACCACACAGGTTTTGTCCAACAATTACCCGCACTGTAATATCGATGGATTATTTACGACGAATGCTTAACTGACAGCAACGCGCGGAGGATGTCACTGGAATGGATCAGCCCGTTATAGCGTTGTGCAAAACCTGCGCCCCATTTCACAAAGACCACTCATTGGCTTCGGCACTTTCCACCGCATCGAAATTGTAACCCGGAATAACTCATCAGCACATCCAGCGGGGAATGTGCTGCTCAAATGTGAACCAAATGCAACTGCTACGTACGTGCACATTCCGAGGCAAAAGAGGAGCAAGATCCCCACCCCCACCCCCACCCCACCCACCCCCGGCTCCTGTCCATCTGTCTAGACTCAGACCTTGAAGAGCCAACAATTGCAGCCAAGCTATTGCCCTAATATATTGCAGACTTTTATAGCCTGTAACCAACCTCACTGTTATTTAGTAGTTGACAAGTTACGATCCGTCACTTCACTTGCAACTTTAATGAAAGGTTATTTATTATTATTGTTATTGTTATGGTTGACCCTGGAACAATGTAGCTTGCCACCCAAATTGAAATAATGTACTGTATAGCCAGTGCCACCGTCGTATCTGCTTGTTCGTTTTTTTTATTTAAAAAAAACAAATCGGGATTAATAGAAAGATACCCACCAGCCCTTAATGAGTTAATATTCTTTTAACAAATGAAAATACACCCAAGTCGTTTTTTTTTTGCATGTTGTGCAATCGAGTGACCGTCCCATTGCATCAAGTGGGGGGGGGGGGACATGTGGCAGTGCTGATTTAAATTTCGGTGGTGTCTCACTCATTAAATTAGATCAAAGCTATGAGCAGGTCAGTTTTTAACAGTCATTCAACTGGGAGTACAGCACCGTTCACACTCTTCACCCCTTTCACCCCGATCCTAAATTAACGTCTCAAGATGACCTATTTCTGACTTAGTGTACAATCCGCACGTATCGTCCAGAAAGATAAATAAATCGCAGTTGGGGAACCAACTTTACAAGAATCCTTTGCTGGTTACAATTGACCACTGTGCTTCACATCGCTTTCCGTCAAGGATTCAGTCTTCAGCGTTGTTGCTCGTCGTAAAATGAACTCAACTCCTTTCCCTCCTCCCCAATGCCTTTAAATTCCATGAGCAATCTCATTTGATACAGGGAGCATCATCCTCATTTATAATGGAATGAAAAATGCAGGGAAAGGGGGGGGGAGGGAGGGGGGGGGTGCAAAGTCAATGAGAAAATGAGCATATTTAGAACATGAACAAATATATAGGTTAAAATACTAGTTAAAAACATGTGTTGAGGTGGGGGGGAGGTAGAGGAAAGAGGGCTATTATAATCACTGGATTATTTGTCGGGTGTGTGTGTGTGTGTGGCTTTTGCTGTGCAATGGTTGGGATTTTTGGAGGTGAATTCCCAAGTCTCTCTCCAGGATTTGCAGTGAGAGTGAGTGAGTGAGAGATTGTGAGTGGGTGAGTGAGTGAGTGAGTGGGTGAGTGTCCGCCATATTCTCTCCAGCTCACCACGCCCGTGGATCTGGTGGAAAGCAGCAGTCAGTCAGTCAGTCAGTCAGGGACTCTCACTCTCGTTCTGTCCGCTCTCAGCCGCCTTTCCAGCCGCACCCCGAGCCCGCACCCCAGCCCTCCCCGAGCCCGCACCCCAGCCCTCCCCGAGCCCGCACCCCAGCCTCCCCGAGCCCGCACCCCAGCCCTCCCCGAGCCCGCACCCCAGCCCTCCCGAGCCCGCACCCCAGCCCTCCCGAGCCCGCACCCCAGCCCTCCCCGAGCCCGCACCCCAGCCCTCCCCGAGCCCGCACCCCAGCCTCCCCGCCCGCACCCCAGCCCTCCCCGAGCCCGCACCCCAGCCCTCCCCGAGCCCGCACCCCAGCCCTCCCCGAGCCCGCACCCCAGCCCTCCCCGAGCCCGCACCCCAGCCCTCCCCGCCCGCACCCCAGCCCCGAGCCCGCACCCCAGCCCTGAGCCCGCACCCCAGCCCTCCCGAGCCCGCACCCCAGCCCCGAGCCCGCACCCCAGCCCTCCCCGAGCCCGCACCCTTGCCCTGAGCCCGCACCCCAGAGCCCGCACCCCAGCCCCGAGCCCGCACCCCAGCCCTGAGCCCGCACCCCAGCCCGAGCCCGCACCCCAGAGCCCGCACCCCAGCCCCGAGCCCGCACCCCAGCCCTGAGCCCGCACCCCAGCCCTGAGCCCGCACCCCAGAGCCCGCACCCCAGCCCCGAGTCCGCACCCCAGCCCTCCCCGAGCCCGCACCCCCGAGCCCGCACCCCAGCCCCGCCACAGGCAGAGGCAGACCAGCGCCCCGCACAACAACCGCCCATTGCAAAGCTTTGCAAAAAAAAGAGAGAGAACAACATCCCATTAAAGAGGGTGTCGCAGGATACACTTAAAAGCCCCACTGAAGCCAGAGAGCAACGAGAGAGGATTACAGACCCCCCTCTGCCCACCCCCCACCCTCTCCCTCTCCCCCTCCCTCTCACTCCCTCTCACTCTCTCTCTCAGTTTGGAGATTTTCTTTAATAGGGGTCGTGTCGCTTCGTTATTCTCTTCGATTGCGTTTGTTTTTTCTCTCTCTCTTCCCCCTCCACCCCCTTCCTCTCTTTTTTTTTTGGTGTTTTTTTGGGGGGGTTAAAAAAAATCCCAGACCCCCCCCCCCACTCCCCCCTTCCCCCAACCCAACCCCCACCCCCACCCCCACCACTCCCCCCACCCCCTCCCTCCCTCTCTCTAAAAAAGAGAGATCGTTTGAAAGAAACATTGTCATTTCTCCCATGTTCAGTGAAGTAGTGGAAGCCTGAGAGAGAGGAGAGGAGAGAGAGAGAGAGAGAGAGAGAGGAGAGAGGAACCAGAGGGAAAAACCAGGAGAGAGCGGGGAAGGAAACCCACACAAGTCGGCTACATGACTCTCGACTCCATCATGGCGTGCTGCCTGAGCGAGGAGGCGAAGGAAGCGAAAAGGATCAACGCGGAGATCGAGAGGCAACTGAAGAGAGACAAGAGGGATGCCCGCAGAGAGCTGAAGCTGCTGCTGCTCGGTGAGTGCCTCTCCCCCTCTCCCCCTCTCCCCGTCTGGGCTTCATCACTCACTCACACACACACTGTCTCACTCGCACAGCAAACCCCAGCGAGCGCTACTGCAGTCAAAAACATGGAGATCTCTTTTTTTTTCGCCCAAATGAATTAGATTTTTTTTGCTGTTGTTGCTCTATATGTGGTGGTGGGAGAAACATACAAACACCGCCCCCCCCCCCCCCCCCCCCCCCCCCCCCCCCCCCCCCCACACCCCCTCCTCCTCCTCCTCCCAACGCACACAGATAAGGAATGTTGTCAGGAATTATCTGTTTAAAGTGGACAGACACGTAACGTGCTGTATCACTCTGTAAAGGGAAAAGGGGGTTATATGGATACCTGACGTGTGTATGTTTAAAACAAATCGGAATCGTTAATCGAAGCTGTGTTTGTTTCAGGAAAGTAACGGGAATGGTTGTGCATGTTTATGTAAGGGTGTCTGTATGCCTAACGCCTTTTTACACACACACACGACACACACACAACCCCACCTACTCGCACCCTTACAAACGCCATGTATTCATTCAGGGAAATTATGGCATTGCTTCATGTACATTTGTGGTGACTGGCAAATCAGGCTCAGATCGAGCTTGGTCAGTTTGATTTGTATAAAACCACCAAGACTTGTTTGCACTTGAATGTTTTATTTTAGTAGTATGGAAATGAGAATTATTATATTGCTTGTCACGCCCCGTTCATATTTGAAAGAAGTCAACCTGGGTATCACTCTCCTCTCTGACCCAGAAGTTTGTGGGTTCAAGCGCCATGTAGGGACTTTGACCTCATCATCCAGACTGACATTCCAGTGCACTGCTGGGGAAATACTGGGGAGCTGGAGGTGCCATCCTTTGGATAAGATGTTAAAAGAGGTCATGCTTCTTTGTATGGATGTTAAAGATCCCGTGGTACTCTAATAAAAGAAAGGGAGCTCCTCCCAATGTCTTTACCATCAATCCGCAGCTAACATTGATCATTCGTTTCATGACTATTTGTGGGAAATTGCTGTGCACGTATTGGCTACTGCATTCACCAACAATTGCACAATCACTACACTTTGCAGTAAAATCATGTGAAGCTCTTTCAAATGTGTCAGTGATATAATAAGGCCTAATATAGAAAATACAAAGATTTTTTATTGTTTGTCAGATTTCCATGATGGGGTATCAGGAAGATATTTTGGGAATTTCCTACTTGTGATAACAAGTATCACAACAGCAATTTCAGCTCTCTGCGTGCATCCCTCTGCAAAAATATGATTATCACAGTCTGTTCTGATGTGCTTTGGATAATTAATTTTATTTACCAGTCACTTCTGAAGGTTTTTTGTTGGAGCAGTATATTATTTGGTCACTGGATATCTAGTATGAGTCGGAAACCTAACCAAATTAATGGAAGTTCAACAAATGCATGGTTTACACTTATTTGCTGTGGAGTATACACTCTCTACTCAGAGGGACAAACCCCACACTTAATCCCAGAGAATTGAGGTGCAAGTTTGCAAGAGCCAAAGTTTGGGAACCCCAGAGGTGTGTATTAAGGGTATTGTAGGATTTTAAATAAACCCACACAACTACCCATTGCCAAATAGTGATAAGATTACATTACTTGTCCAGCAAGTACCATCCTACTTGCTAAGGCTTTGAATAGCAGTGTTATCTGTAGCTAAATGAGAATAAACCCAACCACCAGCGGCTGATCTACACTTCCAAGTCTCACTAATGAGCCAGCCTGACTGCTCCATCATCAACAATGCCATGGAGTACTGCAAACCTGCCTGCAAAGGTGATGGATAAATGAGACTGTTGCAGAGGAACTGCTTGATACTGATCTTCCATTTCCAGACGCGTCACTTTGGGGCCAACAAAGAATGACCTGCTTGCCCTTCGTCCCCCTCCCCCACTACCACTACAAAGAAGGATAGTCACTTGTGGTCATTAGGCATGTGACAATTGTGGGTTTGAGCTCTTGCTAAGTGAATTGTAGGAACCAGAAACTCCTCATGAGCAGCAAAGTTCATCATTAAATATATTAGCGCATTGCCACATTGTCCTTTACCGCAGCCATGAAGGCAGACACATACATGCCATTGAGTGGTGGTTGCATTCCATTTCATAGAATTGAATGTTTGCATTAAAAGAAGTCAAACGTGTCGCAAGTTTGAACATAAATCTTTTAGATGAAGTACGTTTTTATTTTAATTGCATGCTTTCTCGCAACTTTGCAAGAGCTTGTGATACTTTTAGCATATCCAGTTAAAATAGGTTTTGGCCACATTATTGATCGTACAGAAGTTTAGTTCAGCCCATATAACCCAAAATGAGGAAGGAGTTAAATTCATCTCTTTAAGACTGATAATTGGAGTATCTTGTATCTGATAACTAAAAATAGGTCACCTATTTTCAGTTACAGCTCATTGTGACGTAATACTTAGAATTCTTTGAATGAAACCAATTATTTATTATATTATATATAATATTTGTATTGCTATTTTCATATAAATTTTTGTAGCTTGATGCATTAGGGAAGGAATATGAAAAGCTAGTGTGGAGAGACCACTGCTAGATATCATAATTGCAAAATAACTGTACTTGGTTGAAATGGGCACAGACAAGGGGTCAGATTTCACTAATGTGAAGCTTTTTGAGAAAAGAAAATCTACAGAACTAGTCACTAGTAAGGTTAACCAGTGGGAATTTACATATATGGACCAAATTGGAGGTGGAAGTGCAATGGCCAAAATGGTATATATTTAAAGAAATCTATTCTGGTGTTGTTTGAAGAAAAAATACCAGGTGCTTTTATTGAGCCATGTTACGTAACATCTGAATTCAAAATATCTGAGCGGATGCTCTGCTTCTCATCAGAAAGTAGGAGTGCATGCACCACATTATCATGAGTGAATGAATCAGATCGCAGTTGCAGTGAGGGATCATGTGTATCCAGATCATATGAGATGTCTTTATCTGTTGGACAGAGAGACAGATTGCCTCAAATGATATTTACATCTTGGGGCACATCCAGGAGATTTGGATAAATGTGCCTATTTCCCCACAACCCCTCAAGAAATCCTGCTGGGTTCTGGTTGCCACCTGTGTAATTAACCTGTCTTAAAATACAGCAAAAATAACACATCTATTCAATTCTATTGACTGAAAGCTGTAAATGCAGTCACTACATGTGAGAGTAGCAATCTTGAAGCTGTTTGAGATGTTTCAATTGTAAGGCACTATATCAAATGCAAGTTATTATTCATGTGTATCAAAATTGGTGATGTCTGGCTTGCAGTTTTAATAGATTTCTTAATGAGGGATCCTTTTAAAATTCTGTTTAACTGTTATGAATGTCCTGTAGCTCAATGATTAGAACACTTGCCTCGCAAGCGAGAGACCTGGGTTCGAATCCCGGCAGGGCGAAATGTGGGGCAAGATTCCTTACTCCACGTCTCTGTTTACCTACAACAACAACAACAACAAGATTCCATTTATAAAGCGCCTTTCACGTCAGGAGGACGTCCCAAGGCGCTGCACAGTTGGGTCATGACCCGAGCAGGGGGGAAATGGTCAGGGTGAGGGGAGGGAAGGGAGGGAGCGAGGAGGGGGGAAATGGTCAGGGTGAGGGGAGGGAAGGGAGGGAGCGAGGAGGGGGGAAATGGTCAGGGTGAGGGGAGGGAAGGGAGGGAGCGAGGAGGGGGGAAATGGTCAGGGTGAGGGGAGGGAAGGGAGGGAGCGAGGAGGGGGAAGAGAGTCGAGAGGGGAGCTGAAAGCACGGTCAAAGAGAAAGGTTTTGAGACCGGCCTTGAAGGAGGAAAGGGAGGAAGCGGCGAAGGCACTGGGGGATAGAGTTCCAGAGCCTCGGGGCTGAGAGGCTGAAGGCCCGACCACCGATGGTAGGGCGGTTGGGGCGGGGGACGTGGAGCAGACCGGAGCCAGAGGAACGGAGGGTACGGGCAGGTAGGTAGGGGGATAGTAGGTTGGAGAGGTAGGAGGGAGCAAGGCCGTGAATGGCCTTGTAGGTGAGGATGAGGATCTTGAAATCAATCCTCTGGGGGATGGGGAGCCAGTGGAGGCGAGCGAGGGTGGGAGTGATGTGGTCCCGAAGCCTGGTGCGGGACAGTACACGAGCTGCAGAGTTCTGAATGACCTGCAGCTTGTGGAGGGAGGTGGCGGGAAGGCCGGCGAGGAGAGAGTTCCCATAGTCCAGCCTTGAGGTGACAAAGGCGTGGACCAGGGTTTCAGCAGCGTGAGGGGTGAGGTAATGCCGTAGTCTGGCGATGTTCCGGAGGTGATGGAAGGCGGTGCCAGTTGTGGTGCGGATGTGAGGGAGAAAGGACAGCTCAGGGTCGAACAAAACGCCGAGGTTCCTGACTGGCTTTGAGAGGTGGAGAGTGCAGCCTTGGATGCTGATGGTGTCAGCGCCTGAGGTGCGGAGGCGCTGACGTGAGCCAATCAGGAGGGCCTCGGTTTTTCGCACGTTGAGCTGAAGAAAGTTGTCTCTCGTCCAGGACTCGATGTCGGACAGGCAGGCTGTCAGGACATCGGTGGTCGTGGAGTTGAGAGTAGAGGAGGAAAGGTAGAGTTGGGTGTCATCCGCATACATGTGGAAGTTAACTCCATGTCTGCGGATGATGTCACCAAGGGGGAGCATATAGAGGGTGAAGAGGAGGGGACCGAGGACAGAGCCCTGAGGGACACCACATGAGACAGTACGGGGGGTGGAGGAGAAGCCATTCGTCGAGACAAAGTGAAGACGGTGAGAAAGGTACGACCTAAACCATTCAAGGACAGTGCCTTGAAGGTTGAGGTGGGAGGACAAGCGGTGGAGTAGGATAGCGTGGTCGACCGTATCGAATGCTGCCGATAGGTCGAGGAGGACGAGGAGACAGAGGGAGCCCTGGTCACAGATGGTCAGGATATCATTGGTGACCTTGACCAGGGCAGTTTCTGTGCTATGGGCAGCACGGAAACCT